TGTGGTCGTGTGAGGTTCTACAGAAACCCTCCCCTATTTGTCACGACAATTGGAGTGCGTCACGCTTTCCTCCTTCCTCTTCAATTTGGTGACCAGAATGCTCGTGGGCGACTCCATCCTGCATTCCTTCACTTCCAGGGTCATTGTTTTTCTGGACGGCAGAGAGCTCCCTTTGGGTCCGTCGCAGCTGACATGCAACTGGTGCTACGTCGTACCAACGCTTCGTTGCCTCTCGACCACCGCAAATCGGCCGCATGCTATGGATACTGCGCTGCTGCCCTCATCTACGCGGGCTCGAACTAGCCACCTCTCGGATTCGAGCCAGCTACTTGAACCGATCGGCCATCAGCCAGATGCCATGTGGACGCTGCGTGCTTCGACAACTTTGGACTGCGCCTACTTACCAGCACTTTTGCCCTTCACCGGGCAGTCGTTCGAACTTGTCGATCCATTTACTTTTCTGAATAGAGTTGTACCACCTCTGGCGGAAGAGGCTACTACGTGAATTGCAAGGATGATGAGCCGCTTGTTTGTAATCAGTGATGCTAAATGCCTAGCTTTCAGTGTTGATGCCCCCCCCCCAGTTTTCGAATACTGTTCAATCACTTTTAATAGTATAAGAAAATGTGATGGACTGGAAATAGCAGCAACTCTGAGATCATTTATAAAAAGACTTCTGGATTACATATCTTCCCTGTGTTACCAAGATTGATGTAAGCTGCTAAATCTCGAGCCATTGTGGCTTTAAAGGTTGAAGTTGAATCCTTATCTGCTTTGCAAAAATGTTCATCGACAAACACTTGAAATTTTTTCGAATCGAAATTCCAAGAACCTTCGCCATATCATCTGGGAAACAAAGAGTATGTAATAAAAGTACCACACTGTCGCACGCAACGACGATACAACTCCTTTACACTTAACTATCCAATGCTATAGAATAGCTTAACCTTAGCCATCAGAAGTTCACCTTCTGATTGGTCATTTTAAAGCAACTACATAACTATATAAATACTGAAAAATTGTTTTGCCTCTATTGCGCGGTTGAATATGTACATGAATGTGGACCTAATGTTATCTATCTTTCACCTGTCTTTCTGTATTGTTCGATCATCCACCTGCACTTCATTCTCCTTTATCTCCTTAAAGAGTTCTCATTCAGCTTGATGAGAACACCAGAGTCGTTCATTCCCAAATGGTCAACTCGCTCCTGTGTGACAAAAATAGGGCTCCCTCTCTTCCCTGAGTTATACACATCTCAGAACGATATATATTCTGCTATTTATGCCATCTACATTTGTAATTACATCGCCGCTATGTATTTTATGATACATCACACAGTATGCCACTAGTTGAACTCCAGGGATCATGTCTCATGCTATCACGAACTGCACAATAATTTTTATTATTTGATAAGGCTTTCATTGTTGGCCACGACTTCGCCTATCTCATAGGTGACACGGTGGAAATTTCCACAAATTTCCTGGTGATAATAAAGTGCTATACCTAGAAGAGTTAACTACGCCAAAGTGGCCACCTTACTCACATATAAAAGTGGTCCGAAAATGAGTTAAGGCGGTACTGATCTGTTTGATTTAAAGTCACACCGGAGCACGGCCATATTACGTTGGATTGTCGACTCTAAGCACATATAAAAAGTGGCTTGCATGCTTTTAAGCCACGCCGGCACATTACCAGATGAACTTGACAGTACGAATGAAACCGTTGGAAGGACTAAACCGCATGGAAGCAGTTCTCCAGGATACGGTTCCACAAATGGCCCCAGTACTTTTACTGGATCTTTGATTGTTTCCTTTTCTGCTTTAAGTCTGCTGGAGCCCTTGTTCTATTTAACCCTTTTTCTGCTGTTTTAAATTTGTTTCCTTTTCACATATGTTATAGAAAATGGATTTTGTTAAGTTAGATTGTTTTAGGAATTATGGAGATTTTTCTAACTGTCCTTTTTAAAGGACGCCAGCAAGAAATGACTTCGAAATGTGAGCGGAAACATAAAACTGCATTTTCTGAGCACCTAGACAGTAGTTTGCAGATTTGATATGATAGTATCTACTATTACTTTCAAATGGAATGTACTAGGCAGTTGCACTTTATAAAAGAATATGAACCTCAGATTTACACAAACTGTGTTGTGTCATTCGTGCGTTATATGTCGCAGAGCAGCCGCCTGTAGTGGCACATCACATACTGGGCAGAGTAGATTAGCCTTCTTCCCATAATGCCGGCATCTTTGTTTCGGCATAGATTTTAATTGGTGTCTAAAGCAGAATTTCCTGATGCTGCCATCAACTATTTGCCCTTTTCTTCTCTGTGTAAGCAGATTTTAATGGACATTATTTTCTGCTAGATACACCTACAAGTAGACTTTAACGACAACTCGTTACATGTCATGTTGCTTTTGCTCATTTGCAAGTGATTTTCTGTACAAAATCCAAGGATTATTCATTACAGCATCCGGTAGAGAGGCGAAGAGAGGCCAGCACCAATTTTTGCTGTGAAAATTAATTCTATACCGATCGATATTTCGGTTTGATCGGTCCACCCCTCCCATCAAGTTGTTATACTTGATAATGATGCTAGGTTGTTCAATCAGTATGTGCTTTTTGTCCTTCGCCGATCACCTCTTCACTTTGTCAGAGGATATGCACCAACAGAGTTGTTGGTAAGAGTCACAACGGAATTATCATTCCAAGACAAAACGAACACGTCATCTCGTCTATCAAACCTGTAGTCATAAGTGCTCTGTTTAGTTTGACTATGGCTTTCGTGTCGATGGGGCAATTTTCTATCCTATTTGCTCGAACTGTCCCCATTGCTCTCATGCTTTTGTTGGTTAAGACTTTTATGAGCCGCAAGCCTGCAAAAAACTGTCAAACTAGATGTGCTAGAACTGCTGCTTCGAGAGCTTATCCACTAGGTCTATAACAACGCCATATCCCAAACCTAATGTCATATTTGGCCTGAGCTCCTTGGTAGAGATCCAGATAGGCGACAGCCTAGGGGTGTTGCAATGACCCGTTGTTTATACCCGAATCTAATAGGCTTTCTCTGATGCATTGCTTCAGTCCTTGACGGCCGTAATATGGTATCCCGCTTTCATTCACGCACAGATTTTCCACCATGGGGAAAAATTGCATAAATCTTGCGTTAACTAGGCTGTAAGGTGACCGAACTTTTGCAACTTGGTCATCTGCTTACAGATTGTCATTGTTTGTCAGATGGAGCAATTTCATGATCATGTCAAATCTATTTCGATTCATTGTTTGACTGATGGCTGCATTGCGATCCCAATACATGTGTCTTCGTGGTAATGGATTATAAGCTGAGATAAACAGAATACCAGGAAAAGCGCGCATTTCAGCCGTGGTTATACTGAATGAGTGGTCACTTTTTTACGGGCGTACTCAATTGTCTGCCTTACCTTGTAATGTCACCAGGTAAACTACACTCTACTTGCATTTTTGACAACATAAAGTTAGAAAGGAGAAAGCGTGTTAATGCAATTCAGCGTTTCAAGCTGTGATGTACTAGCATATCGCAAAATGGACAAATTTTTCAATCATGTTACCCTTAACTTAGTCAGTCCCAAGGTACCCGTCACGATATCGTTTCTCGCTGGCGTCCTCTAAAAAGGGCAGATGGTTGCACCTCATGCACGCAATAAACATCGCACATTTTACATGATTACATGTGACATAAACACATAATTTTACACAAATATGTCAAAAATTAGTGCTTTTCAATACATAACTACTTAAAGTACACTCACAATTTAGCATTTTCCATTTTATTGGCAATTTGTGCTCACACAAGAAAGGGAAACTTTTTTTCAAAAATAACCTTGAACTGTTTATATATATATATATATATATATATATATATATATATATATCCGCACACAAGGCGGTGGCTGGACCGTAGTCCGCTCCACACTCAGTGCATGGAACCGCTCTTTGAGCCTAGCACGGCCACAAGAACCGTGCACCCGTCCCCTCCAGCAACGATCAAGTGCTCCTGGAGCCATGATATTTTCATATATTTTACGGATTTTTGTGGCCCCGAATTTTCTCATGCTTGTCTCTACTTAACTGAAACGTCACTGTATAGCGCATCCATATCTGTAATCTTGCCATCTGTTCGCTTTGACCTTGCGCGACATAGCGACTCTCTCGTGATTCTGTCCGTGCGCATACAACCCTGTGCTCCGCAGCTGGTTTATCGGTACCCCTAACTTTCTGCGACGTGTACTTTTCACAAATGAACTTTGTCCCTTATTCATTTTCTCCTGGTACACCGGTTCTCCGTTTATTTCTTGACCGCTTCTGACTATGCGTCGCCCACTTCCCACTCTTTTTGGTCGAACTGATGAGTACCGATAAGTGTTTCTTTGCCCATTATCCAATAAATTCAAGGGTGACTTCACAACACGGTCATCACAAGCCATTCAGATAACCACCCCCTATTTCCGTGGACGTAGTTTCATGCCTAACATCATTTAAGCTTAGCACTGATTACCTGCCACGCCCAAACGCTTTTTTGTTGCACCTCCGCTTTGGTATCCGACCCTAGGATGTCTCAATTAGTCGCTTCAATGTCCAGCTTTTCTTTCACCCTGTAACCATTCGTCCTGTTCATGCATGATTGCTCTTGTTTTCATCCGCAGTGATATCGGCACATTCGATCAGTTTTATTGATTAGAAATGTGCGCATCTATGGATAATGAACTTCGATCGAAGTGGTCGTTATTCGCATCGGTGACTGTTAGCTATTTTGACCCCTCTGCATCCTTTTTCAGATGTACACCCCGTTCATTTGACCTAATGAACAAGGTCTTCACTTAACCAATCTCATTTTGCACTACCTTTTCACAACTCTTCTCAGCGCTTTTTCTCACCGACGAATCGATCCTCACTGTGACGACAAGTCGTCTGTGATTCCATACAGTATCGTTCCTTTGATCGCCTCTTGCTTCTTACCACACGTCCATGGCTGGAGGTCACTCTGGTTCTGTTGGGGGAGGAGGTGGAGGCGGAAGCAGTGGCGGCGGTTCGGGTCGCGCACAATTCCGCAGTCAAGCAGGCTGCTGCATCTGTGGCACCAAATCGTCCTCCTCTCGTTTTACTGTCAGTGTCCGGTATTCGGAGCACTTCGCCGGCTGTTTCGGTCAACCTGCGGCGTCCCGCTCGGGTGATTTATGCAATGCCTGCGTGCTCTGTGTCAAACGATGGCTCCAACGCAACAAACCACCGGGTCTGTTTGTCCAGGTAAGTCACCAGTGGAGTGATCGTAGTTTTAACGTTAGTGCTCGTGCACTCCTGCTCATCTTTTGCTACACACACACACACGTACTCACATACACGCGCCATTCTTCTGCATACTATCCTCACCCTACTTACATCAGCTGGTCTATTTTCTAGCCTACTAACCCACTGTCCATGTCCCTTTTGTTGAGGCAAACATTGGCTGTTGGTTCCTTGATTGTTTCTTGCTCTCCACACTCGCTCCTCGGACTAATTCGTCAATCAGTGGGATTAACGAGTGAAGCGATTTTGTCCCTTGGATTTTAGTTCCACACGTGTTCTTCACTAGCTATATGATTAGTGCTCTGCGGGATTGCCTTGATGGTTTAATTTGAATTATTTGTTGTCGCTTATTTTATAAGCCTGCACATGAAACCTAGCTGGAACTTTAATGCTTTGTGGCGACGTCCTCTCATTGATCGTGTAGATTTCTCTATGGGCCCATCTTTTCTTCCGTGTGCTCGGGCCGTTATACCGCTCTGACCAAAGCCGTTTCACCCTCAAGCGGTCACTCACCATCTGTCGTGCCTTTAGGCCCGTTGATGTTAGGTGACTACAAGCACGGTCAGTGGGTGAACATGTTCTTGACCTGTGAACGGGATTGTTGCCATCTCCTTCACACACACCTTCGCTGCGCTCTTTGATACCTCACTCCACCCATACCTATGCACTCTTATGGATTTGTAAGCTTACCACAAACGATGGGGCACATACGTCTCGAGCATATTACGTGACTGCGGACACTACTTATGAGTAGTTGTTCAGCCTCCTCCTCGTTTCCAGATAACTTCAAATGCGTATTCATAACACTAAACGGATTATCCTTGGGGCATTGTTTATATGACCTCCAAGGTTTTCTGATTTAATCTCGCATCATAGCACTGTTAACATTGTGTTCGGTTCCTACCGTCTTTAAAGCAGTCAGTTTTTCCCATCTTCATCTCCCCCAGTAATACTTTTCTGCTTGCACTCCGGATGCACGCGGTTATAACTATTGCGGTGTCCATTCTATTGCATTTTATGGATTGACATTGTTCCATCTTCCGGCGTACACTGATCGAAATCACACACTTGAGCTTGCTGGTCCGACCGATAGTGGAGCGATTCAGGTGTCTGACTTGTAATCCACGGTTCATCGATTCGAATTTGCTCAAAGACCGCGTTCAACAACTGATGTTCGTTGGTAGTGAAGCACCACTAATGATTTCTGACGTATTGCTGATGACTCTTTTCATTATTGTCGCCTTCCTCCTTACATAGAATCGGTTGTTTCCACTCCAAGTTGTACCACCCCCTAGGTTGCTTGCAATACCATTTGAAAACGAACGAAATGAATTAACATAGGGTTAGTTCCCTTAACACAGTTCTCCACGCAAAATCAGCACTGTCCCTTATGATAACATATTCGTTGGAGTACTATTTTGTTCAACTATTTTTACTATCATTATTATTTGTTCTCGTTGTCCTTTTTCTAGAGTATTTTAGTCCTATCTATTTGTGACTTATCCTAGGTGTTTCTCATCCTCATTCTGACTCTATCAATTGCTCTCTCAACCAACCACTTAACCTTTGTCTTGATGAGGTGTACTTTTTTGCGCCTTGGAGCAGCGCTTCCACCTTGTTGGAGTTGATTCCAAATAACTGTTTGAGTTCCCTTTCTGCCCTGTCCTTGCCATTGCCTGCTTGGTACGCCGATGGTATTGTGCATATGCGAACTCGGCTCATTGCTCTTTGGTCTTTAGCTCAAATTGGATTCTACAAACCGAGCAACGGGTCGCTATCTTTTCCTTGTTAGTGCTAATTTGTCCATCTTTTTCACTCTTAACCAAAGCACTAGTCTAAATTGGTCAGCTTGAATGTTATCCGGATCACAACACGTCTAACGTGATCTGAGATTTTCCGTACTGTCCTTGTCCTATGTCATTTGTTCATCCACTGAATTTTCAAGTGTGACAACAGACTGGGTTGTCGTCTGTAATTTAAAAGCTCTTTTTTGTTTTGTTTGCTCAATTAACCGAGTACTTTGATTAACGGCTAAATCGTGCGTATTGATCGCGTCCACATGAAGCTTGCACTTGTGCCCTTTATGAGGTCCTCTGACTCCATGTACTAAATCACCAGCGACCCTGTGCACTCTGGTTTATCCGCCTGTCGTGCAAGCTATCTTGCAAGTTTATGGGCGTGGGTGGTAGTGCTTTCGGATCAGCTTGGTTGCAATTCTTTGGATTTTGGATACTAATCACCGAGGATTTGTTCACCGAAATGCACTGGGTTGATATCTGAACTCTTACTTCGTCAAACCATACTAATGTTGATGATGACTGTGGCAGCGCGTACGCGCGGGCCTTACCACGACCGCACTTCGTAGCTTGTGATTGGATGCCCGTCCGTTCGCGATCAATACCAGGGTCGTTTTGAATATACTGAGTGTATGTACCGTTGGCGTGAATAGAAGTTGGTGTTGCGTACCAGTAGAGTTCTGCTTCCTCGTTCGGGGCTTTGGTCGTGCTTGTTCAAGACCCTGCTTGCAGGGGACTAGTGTACTTGTAGACACAACAATGACCATCCGAGCGATACGAAGTGAGGATAGTTCAAGTGAAATAGTTAAAAATTAATGATTTTTATGTGGAGTGGTTAAGAGTGGGAAATAGAGGTACTAACGCGCAAGGGTTCCCTTTGATTTCGGGGTTGAGCCACCTCCGATGGGGTATCTAACCACGATGTCGCAATCTAGGATCCCCACTGCCTCCAGTGCGACTCAGCCCTGCTCCGATGAGTTTCCTCATGTTATTTCGCCTCATGGTTTCACCCATGTGCGGCGCAATATTGGCTAGCGATTCACACATAGACAGACAGCGTACAAGCATCAAGCATTTGTGATCTAACGTGGTCAGCCTCTTAGTGCACTCCATGTACAGTATCTAGGTGTTTACTCCATACGGCCCCACTGCAACGCCGTACTCCCATCACTTTACCAATCAGTTTAGATTCAACCATCTCCACAGACAAATAAGTCACTGCAACACCTCAGTTGAATTAGTCTTTTTCTTTGCAAAAAGACATTTACGCACTCCGATGGTTTAGGCGACTGTCCGATAGATTGTACGCTATTGGGTGTTACGACTTTGAGCGCATTGAAACTGTTCCTATCAGATCAGTCACTAATCCGAAGTCAAACAAACTCATTCCCCTGGTTCTCTTGATTGATTGAGTGTTAGAACTGGTATGGCACTCCTCTCCGCAATACTTATCCTCATGTCCGGGTTTTAGACAGAATTTTAATAATCTTCTGCTTGCTCATTTCCAACGCTATTTTCACGCATTCTGGATTACCATCCTATTGATTACGCTTCGCGCCAACACGATTTGCTGCAGTTCTTGTCTGTTCACCTTGTTTTGAAGCACAACTTGTCGTCTCAGTTTTTATTTCTCGGATCCCGCTGTGCTTCTACTAGCTTGATTATGAAGCCCCCTACACTTCTTTCATTGCTTGAACGCACCAGGAGCTGTTACTTTTGATCCGGCTTTCCTTTTCTCGGCATCTTTTTCTGAGGAAATTGCCTTTCGTGTAATCTCACGGGAACACCTATGGGGACCTTAAAGTTTTGCTATCGCTGGCTTTCAGAACAACTAGCCAGCTGGTCGGTTCGGGTTTATCCAGTTCCAGCAAGTGGTTCATCCGCAAAATTTTAGAACGCCTGATAAGCATTCTCCATCTAAGCGTTTTCAAAAATTTTTAACAATACTGCGACGTGATGGATGGGACTCGCCACTAACCACCGTCACTGTCCATAACTTCACCTTGATGAAATATTCTATTCCGCCAAATGGATGCGGACTTCGTAAAGCTTCGCATCTCATCATCTCAAAGATGTTTCAGCTGAAAACCGACTCCTACCGATCGCGGTTCCATGACTACGCTCGCTATCTTGCGACGGGTAGGCTGTTCAACCAAAAGTTCGAGGTTGTGTCCGCTAAGTGAATTCTCTAGTTTGTTTTTGCTTCCTGAGTAGTATTATGCCCTCTGAATAAGCAGCGGTTTGTACAGCTGTGTTGGACTTTCTTTTTACAATGCCCTACCTTCCTTTGACATCCACAGATTTTGACGACTGTGCATGCTCATTAGATTGATGGCTATATATATGTATATATTTATATATATAATACCTTTCTTGGTTTACCTGTCACTTTGACCGCGAACAATCGCAGGACGCCTGTGCTTATTTAAGGACCATGAGTGACTTGCGCTGTACCACAAGAAGGTTCATCCACACACACCCTACCTCCAGTTCAAACCCGAAAGAATGGTGCCTGCAAGCATGTGAATTTATGTCATGTTTCGTCATTGGAGCCGGTCCACACTTTTAACATGTACATCATTCCTCTCTACTTGGGGAATCGTCCGTACCAGACGTAAACAAGGCACTGGCCCGTAACCGAAAGTCCAAGGCGTCTGACTTGCAATCCGGAGGTTGCGGGTTCGAGCCTGCATAGGGAACCGGGCGACGGTCAGAATATTCTTAGCTTTCGTGTGACTGCTAGTGGTTGCGTGGCAGCGAAACGTCTGTACGGCGTACTTGCCTACTGCTGGTGCCTATCTTACGCAGGATATTGGGTGGGTCGTAGCCAGTTTCACAATGAATAGAACTGCTCGTTAAGCATGAGAATTGTTATCTCTTACCAGCTCAGCCAGACCCGGGGTACCAACCGGCGTGGGCCAACATAAACTCACAGCAACTTGTACATACCAGTGAACGATGGCGCAGTGCGCGTACCACCAGGGCTCCTTACTTCTATATATTCGATATTAGTTCGTTATGAACTCAGTTTTCTCATTTCCTGATAGCGTAGCTTCGGTTTCCATGCGATCCGCATCCCTTCCCTTAGTTAGTCATAGAGAAGGCGTTTCCCTATCCTGACCACATACATACAGTGGACGTATCTGAGCCATCTCATTTGTCGTAGCAGCATTATGCAATCCAGTCCGTACATGCCGTTCTGACGGATCACTTAGTGTTAGGAACTCTGTCACACCAATGGATGCGCAGAATCTGACGCATACACTGCTGTTAACAACGTTTCGTACATCGAATGCGTGCATGGACATATATGACTGTTCATTATAACTATTAATTCATATGTCGACAGGTCCTGCAGGTGTAGAACCCGTTTTTGACCACCCATACCATTTCAGCTCTTAATTATTTCCATGCTCGCTTTTTATCAGTTACCACGGTCTACTTTTCATGGTTTATTCATTTTCGTGCTGTTTTCTCCCTACCGGGTGCTGTTTTCGGCTGAGCTCCTCGAAACCTGCATACACTACACTCATTAGTTTCAGTAGAGTTAATACCTTTCCAATTACTCCTAGTTTGGTTTTCGGGCTAAATTAGTAAGTTCTTTGGAATTCTGTTTTTTGTCTTAATATCGCTTCCAATCCATTTCCGCTCTGGCTGGTTGTACTCGTGGCATCAGTGGACGTAATATCGAACGAAATCACTTGCTTTGTCTCTTTTTTGAGATGAAATTTTTCAATAACGCGTCCTTTGAACAACTAATCGTCTGCCTTTGCCCGCGGATTCCATCAGTTGTCCTTTTTTGTAGTATTCCGGTAGCCTCTTCTGCATATCTTAGAGAAAGTGGAAACGTTCCTCCTCGATTTGTGATCTCACAATGATACATCGGACCACTCTGGGAGTTACTTCTTGATGCGTTAGCAAACACCCAGTATCACTATCTCCAACATCAGTACATCATCCATTTGAACTGATGCTTCGCTGTCATACAACCACAGTGACCTACGGAACGTAGAAAAATAAGACGGAGAGTACCGGGACTTACCGGGAAACATTAATTTCCCAAAGCTAGCGTTCCGAGTCAAGGCGTCTGCACCTCTTCAATACCATACTGTCACAACAGCTGGCTATTATGCATCAGCAGGACAGCTTCCTTGTAGCTTTCATTGCCCTGCGTCATGGTTGGCGGCATCCGGTTTCGGATTTGCCTGTCACTGTGGCAAGCCACAGGACGCCTGCGCCTACAGAGGGACCATGGATGGCTTGCGCTGCACCACCCACAGCGCCAACCACACACCCCATATCCAGTGTAAACCCGAAGGAATAAGACCGGGAGGCATGCGGATGGGAGCCACGTTTCATCAACGGAGCTGGCCCACACTCCTTCACAGGCAAACACAAGCACGCTGTATTTGGGGAATCAAGTGCACACAAGGCGGTGGCTGGACCGTAGTCCGCTCCACACTGAGTGCATGGAACCACTGTTCAAGCCTAGCACGACCACAAGGACCGTGCACCCCGTCCCCTCCAGCAACGACCAACTGTCTCCTGGAGCCAGATGGACGAGGTAGTGGGTAATAGACAGGGAGGCACCTTGTCAACATGCACATCAAGCGCAGCCACACCGGGGATATCAAACAACAGCCAATCATTCGAAATGCCTATGTGTCATAATCAGCTACTATCCCGCAGCTAACTCAGCACCAAACACGTTAAACAGGCAGTCCTACTATGAGACAGCAACAGACACGCCACTGATGTCGACTGCGACCCATGTCCTGTAACATCTCAAGCCAAGCACAAGGCGGGTCACATGGACTTCAGCCTGGAAGGCGAGACAGACCGACGGCACGGAGTTGGGTCATCAGTGACTGGATTTCACGCTGTCAGCCTAATTTTTGCCCACCTTGCACCTTGCGCCAACCTACAATTAGCCGACTAAACAAGGTCCTCCTAGGTAAGCGGTTTCCAGGTTTACATAGTACGGGCCCAAGCCAGCGCAACTTATTCAGTGCTGTCTGCTGTTCTAAAGAACTAGCTTAGGTATCGCTGCCTAATACTCGCTTACGCACATCATCGTTGCGGACAAGCCGGTGCCATCAGACAACAGCGATGCTTGGCGGACAACGATGATCAAAGACTTGAACTCGCCTCAAATCTTTAGATCGAAGAAACCACGTCTTGCTTTCATAGGACGGCCCTCACTGTAAACTTGTAAACACGGCCTTTCAAACAAAAGGAAACCCTTTCTTTCGCCAACGATGGGGCGGATTCAAAGAGCAGTTCTGGCTTTTGCAATATCTGAACAGACTTTAGTTGCTATGCACCCATCTTTGCTGATACAAATACCAAGCTAAGTAGAGTGATCGACTACCTCGAGTTCCTCGTTATCAAGGGTCAAGGGGTCATCAAGTGGCTGGCAGTCCTGCATCAACGCCTTGCACTTTGAAGATGCGATGCGCATGCCATATAGTGGGACAACAATAGAGAGGTTATTCAGGGTTGTTTGCGCCGCCCAAACATCGGTAAACAGCAAACTAATATCTCCCGCACAATCAAGCTCAACTACCTTTCGCTAGGCAGCACCAGTCACCATTTATATTATTCTGGTCAATGGTTATGCGTCAAGCGAACGTAGTGTTCTATTCTTTGGTACTTACAAAGAAGTCGGTGGTCATCTTTCGTAACTTAATACTGGGATGCGATTGGTTTCGAGTTATGAGCTCACAATTCGACCGGCATAGAACACTAGTACCACGCATTACTTCTGACAGTTCGAGAGCGCCACTGATACTCAGTTGATCAACTGCCACTGCTTGCTGTTAACAGTGAACAAACCTTAAAAACACAACTTTGATTGATCGTGGCCTTGCGTATTTTGTGTGCGACATTTGAACTACATTCATATGATTTGGAATAGAAACGTACACAAGCTTATGTGAATCTTCCAAGGCTACATGTGACCGAACACAAGCAGGCTCTCATGGGCTGTATATGTGCTCCCCATTGCCTTATGTGACAGACATTTAAATTGACGATTGGTTGTGATAACCTTGAGCAAAATTCCCTTTTAGTATTGTGCACCTAGAGAAGAAAATCATCCCTCCACATGGCACTGCCTCCAGTAATCTTTTCCTTACCTTGTCACTAATCCTCTTCTCGTATTGACCAGCAGGGTAAGACGACTGGCGGTTTCGTTGCAAACGTTTCGTCACCACTCGCGGCATCGTCATCAATATTATTACGAATATTCAACACTTAATCAATATACAATTGGCAGTGCCACAACACATAGTTAACCATAACAAACTTAGAAAATAGGTACTCAGTGGAAGGGTTAGGAAGATTTGGAAGATTTTTGCGTTGTGTGGGCGGAGATCTTCCCGGTTTTCCATGCCGAGGAAGAGGGTTGACTTAAGGGACCTGCAAGGCAGCACCACTATTAACAAAGACCATTGGCACCCGGGTAGCTTTTTTACTTTCTTTGTTTACTGTATCAGTCCACAGAGAATCCGGTGGCCAACAAAGTTGTTCATCCGCCCTCCCTTAGGTACTCAGTTGTGGTTGCAGAAGTGAGTGGCCAGTGACCCGATCGCCAGTCACATTGGCTTTAACACAGCGTCGTACGAGCTCTTGTGATATTTGATAGAGAATCATTTGACCAGCCCAGAAACCCCCAAGCTCTGCAACGCTGCTGCTGATTATCCGCGACTGCTTATTCATCTCGCCTGCAAGGCAGATGAGACTTAAACGCAGTTACCTCCACAAGAACTCGCCCTATAGCGTAAGCTCTGCCACAGGGTCGTCATCAGTGCGTTGCTGCGAACGGAGCGGAACGAGTTTTGATTTGTGATTGCCAACTCTAACCGATGATAATTCTGATACATATTGTGTAAACCTTTTACACCCTTAGACACTGCCTTCCTGAAGAATATTCCGGAAGTCTATCACATCCCTTATATTAGACTGTTATCTCTGGCTACCGTTCGGCCACACTCCCCACAGACCGATGTCGCTATTGTATAACACCTGACTCATTGCCATCGGTTGTGGTAGTCATCCGTCGTTCACGTCCCATTTGAGGTCCTTCGCTATCCGACAACCATTGTATTTGATCCTTTAGCTTACTGATTTCTTGTTTCCTCCATCCCTCCTTCAAGGTGCTTGACAGTAAGAAAGGTCCAGGCCCAAAACACATGAAAGAGATCACCAAGCGTGCTCGTCGACGCGAAGCCAAAAATGCAACTGGTTCTCTAAAAAGCAATGCACCTTCCTTTTCTGGTACATCTGCCACCACCTCCGCAGCCACCAATGCATCTCATCGAATCTCTTCGGGCTCGGTTTCCGGACCGTCATTTGCGACTCGCTCCACTGGTGGAAGCGTTGTCTCTACCCTTTATGCGTCAGCAGTGCATCAGAATCAGAGCAACTTGCACCACCTCGGTCGCAACTGCGGTTCTCATCCCTCCGAATCAGGTGCCTCTAATCCACCGGCTACCGGCCCTCTCGCCCATGGAAATCTCACGTCATCTCAGTTGGAGGAATTCACTCGTTGTGACTACCGTTCTTCCTTTACTCCCTACTCTTTGCCGCCATCGAAATCTAGTGTTCTTGGTGGTGGACGGCATCCTGTTATATGCGGTCGCCTCCAAGAGACCTTCTGCTCGCCTTTCCCTGTGGGTGCCACCTTCACCCGTGCCGCAGCAGCAGCCATTCGAAAATCTGAGGCGTCCGGTAAGTTGATTTTTTATGCGTCTTCCTGACTGCATTTCGCGAATTTCCAGTCTTTTATTTGACACTTTTCGGCATTATGTTGGTCGGCTGGGCTGGCCCGTTCTCTTTTCTCTTCTTCTTTGCTTCGTGACCGTGCCGTTGCGGCGGCGTTGACCATCTTGTGAATCTTTGGTCTTCTGTTGTTCCTGACATGTTTTTTTCTGCTGGGCAAATTGAGCGACATTGGACCATCAAGAGCGATTTCTCCCTTTGTTCACTTCTTGGTGCCAACTGAGCTATCAAGGAAGACACTTTGGAGCAGTTTCGGGGTGTCAGCTTTTGTACCCGGCCGTCACGCACTGTCGGCTGGATTTTCCTTTCTATCAGCCATAACTGCAGTTCATGGACATCTTTCACTTCAGCTGATTGCTATGCTTTGTCGGACTAATGTCAAGCGAGTTTGTAAATTGTGAGTAGCATCTGTGAACCACTCACGTCTTATCTCCTAATGTCACTTTCCCGCTCGTTCCTCAGTGCCACATATCATTAAATTACTACTTCTGTCTTTTTGGTTGATGATGTTCTTATCTGATGTTCTTTGAGAACACGGGCACACAGTGATGATTGCCGGTTGGCTAACTTGATTACCGACCTCGGATGCTCTCTCGATGATATCCGGATTACGAGGTTTGCGGAAGCGTTGTGTGCGTGTATCCACACTTCTCAAACTTTTTGGGCCGTGGTCTTGTTTTTATTGGATGCTCGCACGGTGGACTCCTTGAATACTGTTAACCACAAGGTAATCCTTTAATCCTTCATTACTGTACAACTATGTAACGGGTGTTCATCACTGTTAATAAAACATTTCTGACGGAACTATTATATTTCAGTGAAACCCTGCGGACTCCTAGGTGGGGCCCTGAACTCTACCACCACAAGTCGCGTTACCGTCTACGATGGTTTGTCGCTTGTGTGTCCTACAATAAGTGGCGTTCGTCAGTTGTCCATATTTCTCATTCTTATGCAACTTCTTTGTGGACTTCATTATGGAGCGTTCCCTTTTGGAATCTCACGGTGCGAATTTTGTGGATCTACTTGATAGAAGCCTACTTGGTCTTGATCATGCGGGCAGTGTTATCTTGTTATGGTGCTCTAATCGACTCCGTATAACTTCTCTAGCGTGGTCCCATCAGTTGACATGCGCTTCGCACCTTCAAAGTGCAGTGTTGTTACAGGACCACCAGCCACTTGATCCTTGATAGCGAGGAGCTCGAGGTAGTTGGTCACTTCACTTAGGTTGGCATTTGTGTCAGCAATGATGGGTGCATAGCCACTGAAGTCAGTTCACGTGTTACGAAAGCTAAAACTGCTTTTTGAACCTGCGATATCTACGGCGTCAGGAAGAAGTTTCCCACGTTTTGATAAGCCGTGTTTACGAGGCCACAGTGAGAGCCCTTTTACTCTATGATAGCGAGACTTGCCCGCTTCGATTTGTGGAGCTTTCGAATCTTTGATCATCGTGGTCTGCTAAGCATTGTTGGCGGCGGATGACACCAGCATACTCACAACGATGTGCGTAGGCGAGCACTAGGTAGTGGTCATCAAACTATTTCGTTAGAACAACAAATAGCACTGAATAAGTTGCCTTGGCTTGGGTGTGTGCTACGCACGCCCAGTTGCAGCTTACCGAGGAACGCCCTGTTGGGTTTCCCGTATGTAGAGTGGTGCAAGGCTCAAGGTGGGCGAAACTGAAACTGCTAGTCATTGATTACAAACTTGGTGACCTTGGTCCGTCTCGCCTTCCAGGCTGGAGTCCGTGTGACTCGCTTTTTGTTTGTTTCGAGATGTTACAGGGTATGGCTCGCAGTTGGTACCAGTCGTGAGCCTGATGTCGTCTCTTAGTCTAAGATGTCATGAAGGGACGGTCTAGCGAACAAGATCGCTTTTGCTAATTCATCATCAAGCCAATTACTACACATTCAAATAGTAAGATATGAAGATGTTTGTTGAGGTCCTAGAAAATGCAGTTATTTTAATGCTCAAACTGAGTGTGATTCGTTTGCGCAGAAGCTGCCTGGACAACAGCTAGCCATAATAAAGCCAAAGCCCTGATAAACTATTTGTGCACACACAGCGCAAAGTTGTTGAGACGAATCATGATCGTCTCCGTCAATGCAATGATTCGAGATCGGATAAGTTTGCAATGGACACCCCTCACATGGTAGATCGTGCGAAAATCTTTAGCGTTAACGACGGATGATTAATATGGGCTTGGTGTGCGACTATTGCGTTCGGGCACCTTTTGTTCAATTCTCGGTTTTGCAATGCTGGATGATGCTCGCGGACGTTTTCAGACGAACGTCCTGTGGTGCATCCTGTGTAACGTGTCCCACAGGAACAGGTCAATTGATACACATTAAAAGTAGTCCACTTCACGTACAGTTTATCCTTCAGCTGGAAGTGTAGCATAGGCGTGGAACTGAAAATAATTCGTAATCGTGCGTCCCGTAGGTGTTAATGACGAGCGCTCTTAATCGTTTTCTAAGGTACTCAGAACTGTTTTCTACCTTGAATGACAACGGTAAGCAGGCGCGTTTTTTTCCTACTATGAATGCTTTAGCGAACACAGTCAGTTCGCATATTCCTATCAATCAAGCCCTCAGCACATCCGTTGTTAAGGGACACTTTTCTTATTATGGCACGCTCTGTTTTGTGTCCTCGGAGCATATTTTCATCGCTCTTCCGACAAGACAACGGACTAGATACCGTCTCTATCGAAATGGCACAACCCTATCAAAGCGACCCGTCTATGTTGCTTTCTTGTGGATTCTACTTTGCAGTGAAATATCTCCTCGACCTGGTATTTGAACATCCAGGAAAGCCAGACCTTCGTTTGACTCGGGTTACATACAAAAGTGAATGTTTCTGTGGTCCCGAATAAATTTCCGTAATAGTTCAACCTCGTCCACGGAACCCTCAACTGTACACATCACATCATCGGCATAGCTTTATAGAGTGACATCCGGTCAATCATTTTACTCCACGAACGCTTCTCTAGTTTAGCCATAAACAAAGCAAGCAAAGGACCTAATGGTGACCTCATAGCTAGCTCATCCTTTTGTCGGTATAAGTGTCCGACAAAACCAAATCGGACGTTGTGGGTACACTAATGAAACAACATCTTTAGTTCTCCCACAATTTATTTATCTGTACGCAAGTTAATCAATAGTGTCTTTGACGGGATATAAGTCAACCAACCACTTCGTCAACGTATGGTACGGGGAATTATTCGTAGCTAATATGGGTCTTAAACGAGCCCCTCTTTGTGTGTCTTGGATAACCCATATAATCTGAGAATAATACTGCCAACTGGACTACTTCTTTTGAAGGTCACTCCTTTCTGTTTTATTTGTCCGAATAAAATAAATTAAAAAAATAAATTTGTATATTTGCCGACGGACGGTACACGGCCCCATAAGTGGGAGCGATCATTTGTATAGTGAACACGTTGCATAACATCAAAGAAAAGTTTATTGATAGCATTTCGGATCATGATTACTTTTCGTTGAGTCCTAGACCCGCGCAACTCATATGTAAAATTCACGGATGTTTGTATCGTCAGGAGTAGATAATAAAGGAAGGGACTATTAGGCTGCAAAGTCACAGGATTTTGTATGGTATGTAATGACATGTAGTGGGTAAGCTAGCTGTAAGCTATTATCAAATGGTTTTTATACCAACTTCTGTCAATGTTTCCAGTGTTTGCTGTGAGTCAAATATCTTCAGAGCATTTGGTATAGTGAGAAAGGTCTGAAGGAGATTTCGAAAAGTGACATGGCTTGCACACATGCGTATCTGTAGGGGTAGTTTGTTCCACAGATAAGTGTATCTCACTAAGAAGAAATTCGATCGAGTTTTATGACTTGAAAGGTTTGTATGTATCAAGTAGCCGCCATTACGTGTGGGGTAGCCTGCAATCTTCCGTAGTTCAAGTGCGGTGCTGTCTGCAGAAATTCGTTGGTTTATAATGTTGTAGAAGAGAACGAGGTTGTTCTTTAAGCGTCTCAGCCAAAGTGGATCCAGCTGTAGTTTTCGACAGCGATCATAATAAGTCAGGTTTGAGCAGCCTCCCATTTTCAGCTTGGTAAATGATCGTTGGACATTTTCCAGAGCCGTTCTGTCTTTTTTTCTCAATTGGCTGTGAACGATAGTACAATTTTCCAGAGTCGGTCGTACGATTGTCTTGAATGATTCAAGTCGTACTTCAGGTAGGGAGAAAGTTCTGGTGATATATCCGCATAGCTGCCTTGCTTTCGCAACCTGATAAAGAACATGTTCGGAGAAATTGAAAGAGTTAGAGTACCTAATTCCGAAGTCCCGAACTGAATCAGACGTTGAGATCACGTTTCCGGCAAGTATAATGGAGCCTTCTGGGATGCGGCATCTGTACCCAAGTACTTGGGATTTCACTGCGGAGAACTTCATTAATAAACGCTCACTAGCTATATTTAATGCGGATAGGTCTTCACAGATGTTCCCCAAACACATATGTAGTTGGTCTGGATGAAATGAGTAAACCAGTTTGACATCATCTGCAAACAGAAGTGGATGTCCATGTTTGATGGGGTCATATATATTGTTTACATAGATTAAGAAAAGTAGCAGTCCGAGCACACTTCCCTGGAAGACACCGCTGACTATCGGCTTCGATGTAGAATGTTGCTGACCGATTTTAACGACCTGAGTTCGACCGTTTAGGTATGAGTCGAACCAGTTAAGCAGCGGATTTCCAATTCCATATGACTCTAGAGCAGAGAGCAGTGGCTGGTGTGGCACACGGTCGAACGCTTTTTGCATGTCCAACAGAATTATAATAATTGCCATTCCTCTGTCAATCATAGTCGTGATGTGATCGAGAAATTGTAGATGGCATGTAACGCAGGAGCGTTTTGAGAGAAAGCCGTGCTATGAAGGGTTGATCAGATCCAGTCTTGTAAGATATTGGACGATGTTCTTCTTGA